ATTCGAGCGTGGAAACAGCTTCGTTTTTCGCGGGGAAATCTCGTTGCCCGAACGCAAGGAACATATGAAAAGCGTTGCAAGTCTAGAAAGTTATTCTTTGCGTAATAAAAACTCGCCGATTTACAACTATAACATTGGCGATGCGAAGAAGATGTGTAATGCGTGGCATTTGAAGTTAATTATAGTAATTTTATCTAATAATTTCTTTATGCAACATTATTAATAATTATCTGTGATTATTAATTTATGAGAAAATGTCGATTTTTTCCCAACTGGAATGAGCCATTGAATTAAAATAGTTTTTGCATGTTCATGCAGATGAGATAATGTTTCGTTGAGTCATAAATAATTTCCACCGCGATACTTATCTAAGAAACGGAAGTTATTCGTGACTCAGTCTAGAATGCGAGAAAAATTATATGAGGAAAGAATGCGAGAAATTTTAATTCTTATTTGGAGAGAGTCCTTTAGAAAAATAAAATCGATGTTTACTTTCATTAAATACTCATTTCGTAGGGAGAAATCTAGAAAATGTATGCCGCAGTCGTGGCATGTATTTCGCGGCCGATGCTTCGAAATCAACTGTTTTGATGCATTAAGAAGATACGATGGCAACGAAGGTAGAGGAGGCTCCCGCGCCTCCAACGGGGTCTCCTTGGTACGGCAAGGTTTTCGAGTGTTTGAGGAATCGGAATCGAGTGAGCCCCGGCAGGATCGAGCTGCCCGACTGCGACTTCTTCATCGTGGCGCCACGTCGCACGCTGCGCGTTCTCAGGCCGTCCCTGAAGAGCGGCTGGTACTACGAGAGCACGACGGTCGACCGACCGGAGTCGGTCAACGACAATTTCTTCGCTCGCTGGACCAGAAGGCCGCATCCGTCCGGAAATTGCAGGTGCTCCTTCCGCCAGTCCGCCGGCGCGCTAAGCACCAACGAGGAGCGGATCATATCAGCGGAGCTGAATCGCATCCGAACGAGTCTCTGCGAGGGCGAGAAAAACGCGCGCGACCTCGAGGAGCTGGAGAAGAGGGTCTCGGTGAATCTGCAGAAGTTGCGGGACAGTTCGGCGGCTGATTGTACGGACGGGACGACGGCGTCTTCGATAACGGCGGATCAACAGCCGCTCGAGCAAAGCGCGAAGCAGCAAATCGTCAAAGATTTGGAAAGGTGAGTTTGTTGATGAAAATTTCAGCAATCGCTCCCGGTGATGTAATAAATAAAAACCAATGAATTTCTATTAGGTACATCAATACGCTTCTGGAAGAAGTGCTTGATGACACCGTTAAGCATATAACTGATGTCGAAAAGAATGATAATCAGCACCCCGAGGCATCCTGGCAACGAACGAGGAGTGATTCGAAGAAATCGCAGCTCGATAAAGCCGAAAAGGAGATTTCGTTAAAAAGAGATGAGCAATGGAGTGTAGAAAACGATTGTAAACAACAATTCAGCAGAGTTTCGATGGGCGAGGGTTACGTGAATCCCGCTTTCGTCGGTTCGACCGACGAACTGACTTCCCTAGAGTTCAATCGTTCTGCGGGCAAACACGGTAAGCGATTTATTTACAAAAAATGAAATTATTATAGATATTGCATTTTTTCTTGAACCTTTCCTTGCACAATACAAAAATTTTTGTATTTTTTTTGTGCAACAGCCAACATGTATCTTGCGAATACGGAAAACGTCGCGCTGGAGCAAATGGACTGCGTGGATTCCGGAATAAATAGCGTGGAGACCATCGAGTTTCAGCCTCCAGATCAAGAACCCAGCTTCGAGCAATCCCTTTTACGAATCATCGACGAGAAATTGGGAAGAGGCTCTTCGGCAAATAATTCGGAGGAGGACAGTCCCGAGAAAAATTCGCAGAAAGTAATTTCGGGCGAGGAAGAACGTAAAACCGCCCCCCAGAAGATTGCGCGAGCTTCGTCCGAACACGAGACATCGTCGACCGATCTCGAGTCCTGGAAAGTCGAGCGACTGGAGGATGCCGTCAACACCGAAGCTGATTTCAAGAAACTACGCTTGGAATTCCAGAACAACGGCACGGATTTCTCTTTGAATAGCGGAACGAGGATCAATGCGAAATTAACGGAAACTCCTATCGAGCTCAAAGATTATAAGAAAAAATGGGCAGAGTTGGAGGAAGTCACTTCGCAGGAAAATACGCGGCAAAGTTTTCGCGATCCAGTGACGCTTCGAAGAAACAAAAAACCGATCATAGTTTTTCTACACGGCTTCGGTTCTTCGGCGGAGATCTTTGAGCATCAATTGCAGTACTTTTCTTCCCTCGGCTATCCTTGCATCGCTCCTGACATGCTCGGGCACGGTATGAGCTCGGCGCCCAGTCGATCTAGAGATTATCATTTCGGCAAATTGCTCAAGGATCTGGACGCACTTTTACAGCATTACGCTTTTAAACCCGGAGAGAAATGCGTACTGGTGGCGCATAATTACGGGTAAATTGTTTGTTTAAGAATTCGTTGTAAATAGCTATTTTACAATAAGCGAATTTTTTCCACTTTAGCTTATGAATATTCAATGAAAATTTCAGGTGCAGCTTCGCCACAGCGCTTGCTTGCAAATATGACAGCAATATCCATCAGCTCGTGCTAATATCGGGCGGCGGCCCGACCCCTCTGGCCCCGCCGAGCGCTGAATGCGCGGGACATTGCTGTCTCAGGGCGATTCTCGCGCCTCTTCTAATGTGCGGTCTTCACCGAGATATTCTTTATTCCGCGCGAGGTCGTCAGCATCCTTACTGCGGTCAAGAATCGATGGAACAGTGGCCTTCGCACATGAAATACGTATTGGATGGTATGACCTGGCCGCAAGGCGACTACACTTTTCACAGGAAAATATGCACACCGACGCTTTTAGTACACGGGCTTAGAGATAACAAAGTGTCGCTGGTGCAGGAGTGTCAAATGGAAAGAGTGAGTTTATATACTGTGATTAGTCCTTTCTTTATCCGGGAGACGAATATTATGTATTGCGTAATTCACGTTATGGATTACGTAAATACACAAACTAAATTTTTATATATCTCAATTATGTTTGTTTTTTTTTTTAAATAAAACTATGAGATTAACTTATTTCCTTCATTTTCAGACAATGATGAAAGCTTTTCTGGAAGCTATTCCAATGGCTGGTCATAATCCAATGACCGAGTGTCCTCAACAGTTGAACCACATGATACATTGTTTTATAGATTTGTGGAAAAACAAAAAGTGGCAGCAATAAAATTGCTGCGTGTAATTTGAATCTAGAAATAATCGCCTAAAAGTATTGCTCCAAAATTATATCGATTGAAATCGATCAGTAGATAGTTTATTAATTAGCATAATATCAAACTCGTACAATCTTACACTGAAAAAAAACTGTTTTATGATTCAAGAAGAATCAATTCGATCGGACGATAAATAGAATTTGCACGGCCTCATAAATGTGTGTGCCAAGATTTGTACAGGCAAAAAAATATGTAAATACAAAATGTATCATTTGTTTTGATCACTTGAAATAATTTTTATATATTTCGAAATTTTGTTTTTAATATGCATTGCCATGTGCATATTTTATTGTATTTAAAATTTTTCATTTACCTTCATTGTTATCAATCTGAACATTATAACAGAAATAAGCTGCAAAATTTCGTGTCCTGCTATTTTTATTCGAAATTTATTCTGCTCGTGTATGAGATAAAAGTTATTCAAAGTGATCTAACAAATACTGATCAGAGGCTATATGGAACAACATATAGATTTTACCAAAGAACATTTATATATCGTTATTTTATATATAGTATTTTTTAATATAAGTTATTCACTTTACAAATAAAATTGTATACAGCTGATTATATCGTTGCAATAATTATTTAACCAAATTCGACAGAATTAAACAATTAATCAGTCTGACGCGAATACACGAATATCGCGCGCATAGATATTATTATATTAGCGATTCAGTAGCGTTTGGTTAAGCGGATTTTCAGTCGATTTCATCCATTCCTTTCTAAGTATTTGTTTCAATTGACTCAGCCTCAAGGTAGGATTTTGATCTTTGATCAGCGGCATCATTCTTTCCTCGAAGTTCGCGTACGCTGCTTTCATCCGTTTTTCAGGATGCCGGTCGACTTCAGGATCCTTTGCGCTGGAAGTGGAATAATAAAGCTCTTAGTAACAAATAAAATTAAATATACCATTGTAATTGCGTAGACGACGAGTAAAAAATTCTATAAACAGCACTCCAACGTTCCAAAAATAATTACCTTAAAATGGATATAGCTTCGTCTACATTGTGAGCTGTTTCACCTTCCAAAGTTAATCTGTTCAAATTTTCTTCGATCGGTTTCTCGTCTTCTTTCTTCTTCATGGCCACTTGATTTCGTTTCTCGGTAACAGCAACAATTTCAGCTCTCGTAATTTTGGAGGCTGGCTGTTTACCACCAGTTTTTATATTTGACATTTCCATTTCAAGCAGAGCTTTCGCTTCCGCCTTTTTCTCTAATTGCTGTTGACGTTTTTTCTCGACTTCTTCCTGCATACATAATAAAATTTGTAGTATAATAACTCCTATTCCAGACATGGATGCATTTATTTCTCGTTAAATGAACATCCGTCCCTCGAATGCCTGTCGATAACAATTTTGGACGTACTTGTTTTTGTTTTTTCTTCAACAATTGTTTATCATTATCTTGCCAGGCCCTGTCCTCAGCTTCTATCGCTTTCTTTATAGTTTCGGCTTCTTTAACCGCCGCTTTTCTAGCTCGGGCGGCAACCGCCTTGCTATTCTCACCCACGAATTTCTTCGGCATGTTGATCTATACGCAAATCTTGAAATTTATTCGTAATTTTTATAATACGTATTATATCATATTCCCGTGTATTTTAAATTAGCGGGCAAATTATTGTGTTTGAGTTGGCAATAGTCGCACATGCGTGGATTTACTCTATGGAAGCTGTTAAGATTCAGGTTAAGACTACGAAATAACTCACGGCTCGGAAGTATAAAGCAAAAATATATATATATATATATATGGTGCATTCTGTTTTAGTAAGTAAACGATATACGATAAACAACACGTGTGCATCGGAAGCACATGGTTACGCGGTTGAAAAATAGCTACAGACATTTAATTGTCACGCGTGAAATGTCGAAACAACGATCGGGGAAGAACGAGAAGACGCGGAAGGCAGCTGCTATCGATGTGAGTAATTATCCCCATATTCTCACTCACCGATCCCTCGCCTACAGGATACTCGATCACCTATCGCGAAAATAATGTGACATTTTCTATTAAACGCTTTACCAGTCACTAACACTCCACAATATACTCGCTGTGGTATACTTGCCCACGTCTACCAACTTAGTAACCAGATCTTACCAATGTAGTGGTTCGAGCAGCAAATTGATTGGACAAAACGCCGCGTGTGGGCGGAATCTGCGTATTGCACATGGCAACACGTTGCGCGGCAAGAAACGGCGCGATAATCAATGACGTTCCGTTACACATCCTGTTCCTAATCGTGTATTAATTGCGGTATCCTGTGACAGGAGTTAACATGATTATGTAGACTATTCCGGATATCTCAATTAATATTTTAATGACAGATTATACTGAAGTTAATTGGAAACACAAAAATTTGAATAAAACGATGACTTTGCAACTGAAAGCTGCAGACTTGCTTCATTAACTTGCTGAATGTTGAGTGATATTTGAACATAAGACGCAGTAGTTAGAGAATAATATGTGATTCGCATATCAAACATTCTCGCTTTTAAATAATAGAATGAAAAGTTGACTGATTAGCACATCGCTTTCATCGCGCTTTATTTGTTAACACGTTATTTGCAGAATCAATCTACAGGACCTCTGACCTTAAATAAAGATGGAAATGTAGCGATCAAAATTCAAGCTAAACCTGGAGCGAAATGTAACAACGTAACCGGTAATAAAAAAAATATTTATTCAACACATTTTATATATGCTTGTCGATTTTTCTTATTTTGTAAAAGGGAGTGCTGGCATTATAATTTTTTCTTTGTCAAATTATATTTTTGCGCACGATAATTGTTAAAAATGCAAATAAATATTTGTAGATATTTCCGATGAAGCAGTGGGCATTGCGATTTCCGCTCCGCCAACGGAAGGCGAAGCAAATGCGGAACTCGTCAAGTATCTAGCTTCGATTTTCGGACTCAGAAAATCCGACGTATCTTTGGATCGGGTTAGTGTTTAGATAAGCTCTATCGTTATTAATTTGCTTATCAAAATCATATTTTTACTTTCTTTTCTCGCAGGGATCTCGCAGTCGGCAAAAGGTAGTCGTAGTATCGGGAATTACGACAGATCAAGTTTTGGAAAAATTGCGAAAAGAAATGGAGAATTAAAAAATTCTTTTTTACTGTGTAAAAAGTGTGTGACTTTTTTATCATTAGACTATATGCCCAAATTTACACGTACGTGTAATTTTTCCTTAGAAATACATTTTAATTTGTCTTATGCTAATATTATTCATTTTCTACATATCTCTTTTAAATGTCAATTAATTTATACAGTATTGTACAATTTATACATCTGTTTCTCTGAAGATAATTGACGGAATTAGCGTATTGTCAGTATTCATAAAATTTAATGTGTACATGAAAATCTCTTAGAACACCTATATATAATTGCACCAAATTCGATATTTCCAAAAATCGCCATCGATTCTTCGATATTCTTCACGACTATTGCTAGTAATACAAGAATCGATGAAAATTTTTGGCAGAATAATCAGAAGCGTACGCTCTGCGATAACATGTCTATGATCATAGAAAATTAATACCTTTTTAAGGTATCATTTGTTCATTCGATAATCATTCATAATTCACAATGATTCGATGTGTCTATAATAGATATGTCAATGCATATTTCATTCTTGTATCTCGAAAGCCTTGTCGTCGAGCCAAGGTCGGAAAATAGGTAACGTCGACGGATAATGGGCGCCCCGCTTCGACGGCGCCGTACCAGCTGGTGCACCCTCCGGCCTCAACGGGTACGTAGCCAGTACGATCGGTATTTGCAATTTGATTTCCTTGTCCAAGCTCTTCGGACTTATGACGAACTGCGAGAAATATTTATTGTGCCGGATAAATTTCCAGAGTCTTCTGCGCACTTGCGAAGACTTGGTCTTAAAATTATCGCGCTTGATAATAAAAATATGTATCTTCTCCCAACACTCACATAAACGTGGTAAAGAACGTTGATCAGATGACACCCTCTCAGATTCGTCGGTGGCAGAGGAGGGACGTACATTTGTTCATTCAGCCATTCCTCGCCTTCGCCCGGCCGAATTTTTCCCCTCGAGACACTAGCCAACTCCCGAGTCTCGCTGGCCAGCACTTTACCGCGACATAAATATTGTATCGTTTCGGTGAGTGACGCCTTGGTCGATTTCATAGTTACCTGTCGATCAACCTGAGTTCTCATACCTTTCGTGCCGGATATAACTTAAAATATGTCGATTCAACGTGTCTGCGTACCTTACTGCGATTGCTGACGGTCGCGGAAATGCCGATCGTTTCCCCAGGCACGTATCCACCCCGATCCAGACTCACCCTGCAGAAGACGGGACCACCCGACACGCAAGAGACACCCACACGCTGTTCGATCTCTTGTCGCGCAGGTTGCTGTTTGTTACGAAAATGTTTTATTCACATTCCTCATAATTTCCACCGTGCGATTTAAGCGTGAAATCAGAACGATATCTCACAAAGCAGAATGCATTTGAATTATTGAGCGCTACTATTCGCTAAGCGATACGTCTGTAATTAAAACAATGCCCGTCGCAGAATGTTGCCCGCCCACGTGAAAATTTCCTTACGTGGTTTTCTAAGAATGCGAGTGCACCGTTGCCGCGGAACATGGGCGGCGCTTCGATTGCGATCTAACGAATACTATTATGTTGCAAGTAGCGCGATACAAATCACATGCGCACGGAAAGCTTCGCGTTCTTCTATTATTTGTGAGGCTTGACGTGTCGGTATTTTGAGCATATGTTTACTTCAAATTCCTCCCGTCTTGCATCAAGATCATTTGCAACGCTTTCCATACGGGTCGATGACCAGTATTTGGAACTCGGTTATGGTAATGCATGGAATATTCATTTAATCGCACGCACGAAAAACTTTCTTTAGTCTTAATCGACACTGTGAAGCTTGCATGTTTACATCAATTTTTCATAATTGCTTCGCAATTTTTTATAATTAATATAATTACAGACGAAAGCATCTAGCTAAATATCTAGCTGAAATGTCTAGCTAACGATCGAAATTCAAATTCGTACTTAATTTGCAAATGTTAATTCGTCATGATGCAGACGCTCACCGCTAATATCGGAGGTTCCAGATTCAAGTCGATCGGGTTCATGACGATGAAGACCTGTTGATTTTTATGCGTGAGCCCACCTGGCTCGCGGAGAGCCGCTTTACAATAATATTGCACCCATCCGTGCTTTCCGAGGAAAGTCGAGGGTAGGCCCAGCGGCAAACCCAATTTGAAGGGAAAGCTGTGTATCCCCGGAGATAGCAATGACGGCCCTTCGCCTATTTGCAATCGAATCGCCGTCGGAAAGACAAGTTATTAAATTTTCCATTATAGAATAAAAGTATAAATGTACTGTATCTTTAATTTTATGTATATAGCGCACGCAGGTTAAGGATGGAAGTTGTTTCACTTTAAAATGCCGAATGATGCGTGGAGTCGTGCGATATAATTCGAAATAATAAATTCACCTGGTTCGCCCAGCAGTCGCATGCGAAAATCGATGTAATTCTCTTTGTCGTAAACTCTCTCGGCACGTTGACTGCGCACCCGAACTACTCCTTCCCCCACAACATGGAAATGTAGTCCTGAGACACTACGGTAACGTACCCCACATTATTAATTTGTGTTAAGCGGTCGGCATACCGCTTCAGCGCGTCGCACCGCGAGAAAAATTCTTTCCAACGCGTGCTTAGCGCATCAAAATAATTTTTTAAATTATGAACTCCTTATCTTTTGGATTACTTTTGTAAAATTTTACTTACTAGGCTTCATCGTCCAACTCTATGAGAACTCGACCGGACAAGAAGTGGCCCGGGAAATACAGTAGATTTGTGTTATCGAAAAGTATCAAGAACTTGCTCAGCTTCCTCGTCATCCTGCCACCGCGCTACTTCGAATACTATACGTTTTATTTACGGAGAATGACGGCTCGTGCGAATGTTTACGTCACCGCAGCTTCACGCTCACTGAATGCACATCGAGGAGCGCGCAGGAGTAACCTTGTTCCATCACTATCTCATGCTGCTAGGTGAGAATCACTGGCTTGCATCGCATCAGCACGATCGTAACGCGGCACGCGTCTCTCCCTCTCTTTCTCTCTTTCGCAATGTCTTTTCCTGTGCGCGCTAGCGAACTGGTACCAGCAATGCCACGATGCACCTCATCATCGCATTTTTTTTCTGCAGCTGATGGCGGCACGTTCCCGCGCGCGCAATTTCCGCACTTTTCACGATCCAAGGAAGACCGATGGGCAGCGATTCGCCGGTACGGATCTCGTCGTCGCCCACTGTGCAACTTTCTGTCACCGTTTCGCGCTAGTCCGATCCTTCTTGCCCATTCTTGGAGACGCGCTCACTTTCGCTCCCTACCTTCCATATGCCTGCTTCTTCCACCTCCAATCCAGTCTGGTACCGACTAGTCTCTCACACCTGGTTTCGTACTGCCCGATACTTAGCCAATGGCAGTATTCTAGTCAACGTTGCTGTTTTTGGCATTGTGTATTTCAATCACGTTACATTGTTTTCGCTATCGCGAGGTTCGAGATTGCTGAGGTTGCACTTATTGATAAATATGAAAGAATGGAATACGATACCTAAGCGCTCGAATAGAAGGCGCATTTATTCTCGAAGAAGTTTATTAAAATTGAGTTTTGCAAAGAATTTAGTAGGCATCTGATGGATATCCATAAATCTATGCAAATCTAAATATTATGCAATAGATATCTAGATGTGAAAGAAGTGGAAAACTGAAGAATATAAACCTCATTTATTTTATATTTATAATTTTTACGATACGTATATAAAGATCTCAAAATCACAATTGCCTCAATTTTACTTCTTTTTTTCTTCACTAATTTTATTTCAATAATTTTCTGTTTAGACATTGACATAGTAAGAAATCTTTAACAGGTGAATCTTATTTATTTATTTATTCATCTATATTGCGATTATTTTATTTAAATTTATTTGCTACAGGCATCTCAATAAATATCCTTTCATAAAAAATAAAAATGGAAATTCGAGAAAACGCACTTGCGAAATATCCTGTTTAATATTATTTGCACGTGCAATTGCATATGCAGACAGTCCTGGCAACTCTTACACTTGATTCGTCCCAACTAGAACTCCACACGAGTCATCGATTCTCTCTTCACACTCGCAAGTGTCAATGCTATACAGTGATATATTTTGTTATTATTTTCTTTATTATTAATAAAAACGTGAGTAACTTTATCTCGATGTGAATTTAATGATTCGTTACACTGTACATCTAATTTTCTTGCAGTTTGAAACTCCGTGACGATGGAAAACAAAGTGATTAATCAGAAGGAATACTTGAAAAAATATATGCGCAATAATGATGAGAAGAAGAAGAAAAAGAAGAAGAAACAAAAAACAGGAATCAAAACGTAAGAATCAATCTGTGGGTATTTTAATTTGTGTCAACAATGAATGTTTTGAGGTTAAGTTAGGTTATGTTATTGACTGCATCATATGACGCTTTAGGAAGGAATGCAAAAAAGGCAGAAGGAATTAACAATATCAAAGTAATAATGTCAATATATAACTACATTCATGTCATTATCCTTATTGTTGCAGATTATTTTTTTTATAAAATTGTATATTATTTTCTGAATAAAACTACTCAAATATCGATGCATTTTTGACACACAATGTTGCTGAAAATGATCATGAGCAATTTCCAAATATTAAAATATAACTATTCAGAACTCATCTTTTTATTTTTATTATATATATTTTCATTTAGATTAATTAATTGCGGAATGTGCAAAATTATATTATCTAATTTGGAAAGAATCACTTCATATCTGTAAAGTATTATTTTAAAGAATATATAACTTAATCTCGATAAAAACATTCAAATTTAAAATAATAGGATGTATTTTTTTCAGAGTAAAAATTATAGACGATGATGTAGATTTGAAGAATATGAGGCCCATTGAAGAGGGTGAATTCGATATTCTTTTAGAAGGAGAAGATGCTCCTCAAATTGCTGGAATAGTTGACGAACGTGGACCGATTGATTTCTCAGACAAGAAAAGGTGGAAAATTATAACCGAGAATGAAGAAGGGGATTTAACTATTATTAATCGTACAGATAATACAAATCGAGATGACACAACAAATACCGAACAACATGAGAATGACGATTTCGACTTGAGTCCACTTAGGCATTCTAAAAATAAACAGAGAAAGCAATCTAAAAATGACGACTCGGATTTAAGTCCATCTAGGCATTCTAAAAATAAACATAAAAAGCAATCTAAAAATGACGACTCGGATTTAAGTCCACCTAGGCATTCTAAAAATAAACATAAAAAGCAATCTAAAAATGACGACTCGGATTTAAGTCCACCTAGGCATTCTAAAGATAAACACGTAAATTCAAGTCGACATGGACGATTTAGAGATGATGATTCGGATTTGAGTCCACCTAGGCATTCTAGAAATAATCATTCTGACTTAAGTCCGCCTCGAAAATCTAAAAATAATGACGATTCAGACTTGAGTCCACCCAGACGATCTAAAAATTCTGACTCAGACTTAAGTCCACCTAGAAAAGACACGAAACATCGGACTTCAGCACACAGTTCATCTAAACGAAATCATCGGAGTTTAAATCACAGAGACAGTGATTCGGACATAAGTCCACCCAGAAAACACAAGCAGAATCCAGATACAGATTTGTATGAAAGTAGAAGGAGTAAAAAGGACTCGGATTCGAGTGCGTCTCGGCACAAAGAGCATCGGTCTCGAAGAGACGATTCACCACGTTCCAGTTTGCGGAAAAGCGACAGAGGACATCATGATTATCGCGATAAATATTCATCCAGATCGAGTAAACAAGATATGTCGAGGTAAATTGATATAATTTCGCGGAAAAAAAAACGACAAGGTTTTGATAAGGATTATTGCAATTAAATAATTAAATATTAATTGACGAGATGGTAAACAAGCTATTACTTTTTAACAGGTCAAACAGGGATAAACGGGAGAGAGAATATGAAGATCGAGATCGTAAATCTCGATCGTATTCGGACACGAGAGAGAAGAGAAGAAAAAAGTCTCGCTGGGATGAAGAAACGGACGATTTCGAACATGGACGAGCGGAAAGTCAATCGAAGGATAGTAGCGGTAGAATGACAAAAACGTTGGACGGAAAAACGGCAGGACTTCAAGATGCGAGAGCATTACGAGAGGAAACCGAGTCCCATAAACGACGAGAAGTAGAACAGTTTAACAAGGCAACGTTCTTTATATAGAGTATATTTATAGCAGTAAGAAAGAGTTTTATTTGTGGAAGTGATTGTTTATTTATGGAGACAGAGACAAACAGCGCGAGAGCGAGAGACAGGCCATAAGTGACCGTTTCAAATTGTTTCAGCTAAGCAAAGCAGTCAGCGGAATAGGGCAAGCTCCGATCATGCGTGACAAAACGGGAAAAAAGCGCAATTTAGAAGCGGAAGCAGCGGAGAAACGCGAACAGGAAATACAGCAGCAGGAGATGAATGAGAAGTACACCAAGTGGGGTAAAGGGTGAGCGATATTTCCTTTCAATCTTTATCAGTTTTTTCTTATTAATATTTCTTTTTTTTCATTTGGAATATATTTTCACATTATTTTATTACTATTGAAATAAATGTCACCTTTAGACGATAATATGCAGCTGTTCGTATTTTATTCTAGGTTGAAACAAGTTGAGGATCGAGAGGAAAAATTAAAGAGCGATTTATATGAGATGAATAAACCTCTGGCGAGATATGCCGATGATGCAGATTTAGATAAAGAGTTGAGGGAACAAGAGAGAGAAGGTGATCCTATGTTGGAATATATAAAACAAAAACAGATAAAAGAGGGGAAGAGAAAGCAAGGTAATAACAAAAATATATCCACGTTTCTTCGTGTCGTATACCTTAAGAAGAACCATCATTCAATAACGCTTTAATTTTAGATCCACCGCAATATCAAGGTTCGTTCGCGCCAAATCGATTCGGTATCAAACCCGGCCATCGATGGGACGGCGTCGACAGAAGCAACGGATACGAAAAGAAATGGTTCGAATCACAAAATGCGAAGGTGGCGCGGCAGGAAGAAGCCTATAAGTGGAGTACAGCTGATATGTGATCGCACATGTATTTCTATAGCAGAACTTTCCAATTCTATTTCCATTTATTGTTAATAAAAAGTAAAGTTTTAAAACTTTCCGATGATGTAAATTTCTTTTACTCTCGATATATATATATATATAACCGCGCAATGCCGCTTCGAGATCGATATAAAAATCGTATAATTTATCTATAATCTTTATCTTCATGCTTACGTTCGTCACTAAGTCGCCCTAATGTCGCGTAACGACCGAGATATATCAGCGAGCTACGTGCGTGCACACCGTGAAGACCGCGAGATCGATATTCGTTCCAGAAAACAAGAAGAACGGAGAGGCTGGCGCCGGTCTGGCAACGGTCTGCCAACAATGGTCTAGGCGAGCGAAATGCCACCGTCTGCGAAATCGATCATGCGCTTTTAAGGTCGCGAGAAGCCGCGAGGATAGCGAGCAGTATGAGAGTATTGGGGAGTGGCGGGCGCGTTTGACACAGTCATCCGCGAAGGGACGTAGTTTCATATCGGATCGAAGCGGTTCAATCGCGCCGCTGCAATTTACATAGATCGAGCCCCGGCGCCGAATCCTTACGGAAGGACACACTCGCCATACATTGGTAAACGCCGAGGCTTGCGCTTTGAGCTCCTGCCGCCAGCGTGCCGCTACGCGCCGGCCGAAGCGTGGCTAGAAACGTGGCGATCTCTTCCGCGTGCGTGCCGCCGCCGCCGCCGCCGCCTCCACGCTCCTCCGCGAGAGAAAACGGGGGTTTTGCGTGGCGCGAATATCTATATATCGGCGATATACATAGAGCGCGACTGGTACTACAATCGCTCGGTCGCCACGCGAGCAAGGGCAGGGTCGTAAGTGAGCGACGCCAGTACGGCTCGCGACGTCGACGGGTTTTCTCGCTTGCGTGCTTAGCTCGTGATGCTCGGCTTTCGACGAGCCACGATCGCCCGGTAGAATTCTTCGTCGGAGAAGTGGACGCAACAGGACGCCGGGCGTCGCGTGACAACGACGAGACGCATGAGGTAGCTTGGATTGCTTTCGAGTGTGAAGGATTGTCTCGCAGGTGCCGGCGCCACGCGACGTGTCAGTAACCCCCGAATAACGGAAGGAAACGAGGGGTGGAGGCGCAGGAGGAACGTGTGTGCTGGCGAAACGCACACATAGATACAGAGTGGGAAAGAGAAGGAGAGAAAGGTGGAAGGTAACTCTGAATCAAAATCGCCGAATTTTAGTCAATTAAAGCGAGCGGAGAGCTTGCGAGTAATACTTAGCAGCTTAGAAGTTTTCACTAAAAAAAGATAACTATTTCATTATTAAACGGATATAACGGCAATAAAAGGACCTCAGGCGTAGCTCAATATTTTATACATATAGGATTCTTGGACGGTAAGAGATAGAGAGAAAAGTCGCGGAGGGCGGAAAGGCGGAGGGGTGGAACAAATAAAGGGAAGAGTGAGTGCAAGAGAGAGAGAGAGAGAGAGGAGAATAAGTTAGAAGGACCGCGAAGAAAATTTATATTTTTCTCGGCCTCCCGATAAAACGTAAAACGTGACTACCATATTTGTTACCGAGACTATTGCTGCATTGAGACACTCTAGTGATAACTCGATGCTACTTTTTTTACTGGGTAACGCAATGTTAATGAGGGAATTCCAATAATACGCTTCTCGACGACGTGATTTAAGTCTTACGTAAGAAAAAAAAACTAAGAAAAAAAAGAAGAAACGGACGAAGACAAACATGGGATGCAACACTAGCAAGGAGAGCGTTCAGCCAGCGGTGGACGAGGCGAAAGAAGGCGATTCCGTCAAGAACGGGGGTGAGCGATCGTCCCTTCTAAATTTGCTAATTGTACCAAGCGTCATTGGGGCGATCATGTGAACTTTACAAAGCCGCACAATAAACGCAATCTTGTTTTTCGCAAATTTTCGCTAATGCAGTCTGCATGACGTTTTACATTTTTGTACGATGACGATTAAATTGTGTGACGCTTTTTGTCGCTTCGTGCTTTGTGCCATTAGAAGTTTTAATCTCTATAGACTGCGAGCACCGCAGAACTTCGGCGTTGTTTATCTTGACAATGACAGAGCCTGCTTTGTTTCACGGGTGACAAATGTACCTCTGTTCACTTCGTTAGATCTTTCGAGCTGATTGCGCGCACGCTTCAGTAATATCAATGCAATCAGTAGGGGTCGGCAGGACGAACGACTATTTGCTGCGTAATGAATGCATTTGGTGTGTGCAATGATGAATGTAGAAATTTTTAGCATTCAACTAAAATTTTCCTCTTTATGTTCCGCGAGATTAATATCAGAGAATCGGTCTTGATTGTCCTTTTCATAAAAGTGGATTAAAAATAGTTTGTTAGCCAAATTGAACAGAAATTCTTAAAACCCTGTTTTCTTTAAGTAATGAATTGCTTTTTTAGATTAGTTGAATATCTAAATTCTTTTAGCGGCTAAGAGAGAGAATAAATTTGGATTTTGTCTAAAAATAATATCCAAGACGAGATCAAATGTGTAGAATATAAAATATTTTTATTTAATAACAAAACGTACTTTAATAAAATAAAAATTCAAACTTTTCAAATCCCTATTTAAATGTTACACATATAAATTGTGCTTTCTCTGTTTTAAATTAAATTTCCGAGAAATGCAGAGCCATCGTATTTATTCAAAATTTTCTCAATAAATTGCGGTAATGCAATTCTCAGTAATAGTGTGCCAAACTTCACTATCTTGGCGAGCGAAAAATAGGACGCCTGTGGAATCTGATGGGGGTGTATCAAAATACCGATAGAAGCACTGATCGCGTGATGTATGTCAAGGTTCAACTCTTCTACGAAAATTTCCTTTTATAAACGTCAGACATGGCGAGACGATTGTGCCGAATTAAAATGAACAACAGAAAAATATTCGTAAAAAGTCTTATTATATTATTAAAGAAGAAATTTTTACGAGAACGTTTGTGACACATCGTTTTTTTTTCCCTCATTAATATAGCAGTATTAATACAGTAATATTACACGATTGCGTGAAAAAGATCGAGCGCTCTATTGATAAATTTTGAATGTCCAATAAAATTTATTCAGATCTGTATCTAGCACAATTTTTAGATCTTTCAGTAAAAATGTGTATTAATGAAATAACGATACATTGTAAAAGTGTCCTTTCGCAAGTATTAATGTACTACATTGCAATGTAGGGAATTTTTTGTAATAAGAATAATAAAATAGAAAGAGAGCGAACTCTGAAAATATTGATTTACCGCATATTGCAGAAGTGCATTCCTATTTGTTTGATAGACTGATAATATCTAAATTACGTTCTTATTTGTCTGACGAAGCGATAATATCTTTTCATACGTAACTTCCGCACTGTGTGTTGCACAAGACACTAATTAGTAATTAGTAATTGAGAAAATTAGCTTATCACAAGCTGATACAATCTTGGAAATTTTGTTAATCAATTTTAGCACGTTCTACTTTACTGGCTGTAGTGAAAACCATGCAATGCAGCTTGCTTCGAGCAGAATCAATTACTCGGAGTTTCAACGAATTTCTGCATGCGAGATATTGGGTTTCATCAGTACCGACGTAGTTGCATAGATGGATTCTATGTGGCTCGCATAAAACGCGATCGAACAAGAATTGTATCATAGAATGATGAATAAATGAATATCGATATATAAAAGTCTTGCAAAGATAGGATGTTGATTTATTTTAAAAATATTGCAGTTTCGAATGTATCTTTCTCGATACAAACAAAAAGCTCTAAGCCACAGAAATTAAATATAAAAAAAAATACCGTTAAACAATGTTGCTTTTCTTTAAAAAAAAAACAATATTTTCTCGGATAAACAAATATTTAAAGTATTTGGAAGATTTTTTTTTTTGGAAAATTTTTTTCAAGTTTTTTGCAAAATTTTAACAGATCGTGTATTTTTACATGACTAAATGGTTACTCTAATTATAACAATCTATACATAAAAAGAATAACGCGTCTGACCTAGTTCTGCAGGCCACAATTGCGGATCGTTATCATTTCTCAAAATGGCGATCGTTTTAGTTGTGCAAAAAGATTATTTCACGATTCGTGCGATGATAACGGTAGATTACGTTGAGGAAAGCTGATTATATAGCAAAGAATAAATGGTAGAACGTATATAAGTGTATTTTTTCGTTAGTATAAGTCGGATGTAGAATGAAATATTACGTTTCAATTGTGCAGTACTTATTTTCAATATTCCTGACTGGCGCACAGTAATATGAGCAGTTCATTAGCGAATAAGCGGCTTAAACGTAATACTATATAGTCTATCACTCATCGACGCCAATTTCAATTGAGTTTGTAAACTGTGTACGCCAGCTTTTTCTTTAATCCTCTTTGCTGCCGTCACCGGCTTCTTCGCGATTTAGATGCCGTGACAGTACTACCGCTACCGAGCTTAAAGCGTTCAGAAAACATACTCTTTGAGATTTCTAACGGGATAACATGAGAAATAATATTTCTAAAAAGAGAAATAGGACACTACCATTAAAGAATTTTCCTTCGCATTTGTCGCAATTTTTCCAATATTCGTAAATTAATTGAGAATGAAAAGAAAAAAAAAGGATTACGTATCACAGAACAAGAAAGAAAAAAATCTAAATGCAATCGCAGGTGTATAATTAACCACGCTGATTGTGGGTATCGTGAAAAGCACAAGAGACGTCAAACATTTTGCTTTGCTTTGAATCACTTTATGAATGAATAAAGAAGAGCAAAATAAAAACGTCTATTTTTTGGAACTCACCGAGAAGAAGATGGCTCAGTCCACCGAAATGGACCAAGCCATTTGGTAGGTTTTTGCAAATTAACGGAACGCGGAGGGAAATTATTCTGGGGCAAGTGAGTGTGCTTGGACAGGTTATCGATAGTAAAAGCAAACAAAAGAATAAGCAAAATAAATAGAGCACGGAGGTTTAAGCGACACCTGCGACGGCCCTGTTTCGCGGTGTTCCTCATCGCGGGGTGAGAATCGGAGAACTGCGACTGCGAACGGGCGGCGCGGCAGGGCCGTGATCGGCCGCTATTATAAACGGGGTCGCCGGTGCCCGGGAACAGTCAGTTGCACGTCAGACCGAGCCGCGCGTGGATGTGCAGGTGAGAAAGCCGAGCGAGCGAGCAAGCGGCGACGCGCTCCTCCGACGCAGGTGAGTCGCGGCGCGAGTGCGACCCGAAAAGCCGCCTCGCGGATTCAACGATCCTCGCGTGCATGTATCGCCGGGAGTAAAACGGGGTTAAAAGCGGCGGACGTGCGCGGGCGGGGCGG